TTGGTCTAAAGGGTAGGTTCTTTTTTAGATTTAATTAGAACCTCAACATATCCTCAATGGACTGTAAAGCATGAAAGCARCAAAACATAAAGTTGTTCTTTTGTCTTTTGATGAATTCTCTTCTTGTCTCTAGTCGTCATCCTTCATTGATAAGTACACCACTGCTGTTCATGGTTGTGCTGGCTGTGGAGAGCAAGCCGTCTGTTCGACTTTCTTCTCTTGCTTGGATCAGTTTTTAGTCATTAACTCACGTAAACATCCCATCTGTTCTCCTTCTACGCTTTCTTTCTGCCAGCTCTCCTTGCAGAGTACGTGGGGGATTTCCTGTGTTTTTGGAAGCGGGAAGATAGAGACTCATAACTGTGTCACTGTCCACCTCACTCACAAATTCCAGTAATATAAATGTGCTTTGTTTCAGCTCTTCTTTTCAAAACACCAAATCAAAATGTGAAATCCACAGTAAAAAAAATATTATTTTCATTCTTATGCTTCACTATAAAACGTCTGTTTTGGGAACGGCAACATTTCCAGATGGAGGTATTTTCCCCTTTGGGAACAACAGCAACTGGACGTGGATATATTTTTAATGTGGACATTACACACTCCTGCCAGGGTGTAAAACATTTAAAATGGATATCTTGCTAATTTTGCCTCTTTCCTGTGTTTACTAGCCTCCAGATATTACTTTGGAGTTGCAGATGGTCCTACACCAGCTGGGACTGCCACCAGAATTTAATTAAAAGCTATAGCAAAAAGACTGTGTCCTCATTCAATAAGCATTTAAAGTTTGATTTGGTTAAACTGTGTTTACTTCCTTCCAGTGTTTGCTGTGACAAACGGCTTTATTTTCTGTTGTTTAACTTGTGTTTCAGCAAGAAAGAGCACCACTGTAGGCTGTTTTGTAACTAATAAATATGCAGTTTCAAGCTCCAATTTCTTTAACAAAGTGCCTTTTTCCCCCGCTTTATTTAAAGTTTGGGGGGTTCAATTAAATATTATTTTAGTTTTCTTTGCTTATCACAAACGAAACTAACACAAAGAACTTTTAAACAAATTTTCATGAAAGAATTGCTCAGGAAATGTAAGGTTTATTTTTGCTAATATGTCTCAAGGTTTTATACTACACAAAAATAAGGAAATTTGTGTTTGGTAGATTATTTCTTTGTTGTGACAATACTTCTTGGCAATAAATCTCATACCAACCACCTGATTGGCAGCACCATACAAGATGCTCAAAACAAGTGTCAACAACAACAATAAAATMAGCTGTTTGGCAGAGAAGATYTGGAAACTTTTCATGTGTGCAACCTACATATTCTCAGCTCTACTGCTCATCCCACAAATGCATCTTCCTTATTTAAAAAGGGAAATTAACAGACTTTTCAACGATGTAAGATTTAATGCAGAAGAGCAATGCTACAACATATAAATAATTTACCAAACACAAATTTCCATTGATGCTCACTCAATATATTCACTGAAGCTCTTAGCTTTTGCTTTGTGTCCAAACTGCCAAAAAAWTTTTGATCTCTTAAGCTTTTAACTCTTCTTCGCTTGGCCTCTCTTTCCYGAACCTGCCCCTCCTTTCCTGCTTCGCAGCTTTTTCAAGCCTTTCTTCACCTATCATCCGAAACAAAAGGGAACTATGGATTTGGTCAACTGGTCTCTGAACGCGATTGACACTATTTTTTCCACATTAAGATTGGAACAAGGAGAACGTTAGCGGTAACACTTTCTTTTACGGTACCCTTATTACCATGTAATTACAAGGTAATAAAAAATGTAATTAAGTGGTAATTACTACCTTATTACCATGTAATTATGTGGTAATTAGGGTACAAAAAACTACTGTTAGTAAAAGTACCTTTCTTGGGTAACTACAACCAAATTACTATTCAGTAGTAACTCAACACTATATTTATAACCAAAAGAATGCAACAAAACTTTGGGGTTAGTGGTTAATTGCAATAAATTATTATAACTTTAAAAATGTCCAAATTACCTACTACTTATTTAGGTGTTACATAGTGAATTGTAATACATTACCAGGTAAGTGCTACATTACTGCAGACAATTACATAGTAAAACTGTACCCTAATTACCACGTAATTACATGACAATAAGGTAGTAATTACATTTAATTACATGTTTTATTACCTTGTAATTACATGATAATAAGGGTACCGTAAACGAAAGTGTTACCACATTAGCTGTCCCAGTGGAATGGTTGCTGCTGGTYGGGTCAGTGGTTCTTGGGGCTGGAACCTGATCTGTTTGGCGCCGCTTTCCATTGAAGACGTGTAAGATTTGTATATATTTGGATTTGATAACTGGATTTCTGCTGAGCATGAGACAAAAAAGATCTGGACTCTGGTGGGCCTTGGATCGGTTCCAGCATGAAGAATTAACCTAAAACATCACCGGCTCCACTGAACCCTGACCCAGTCTTGTGTGTTTGACCCCAAGCATCCCAGCTGTCTTGCTCTAGCGAGTCGGGTTTTTTTGTGCATATGATTCTGTGTTTGTGAGTAAACATAGGATCAGAGCAACTTTTTTTTAACTCACGTGTCCTATTGTGTTTTTCCAAGCTGCAAAAGGTAGCGCGACCGTGTTGCACAAGACCCGTTCATCCGTTCCCCCATGTTTGTCTTGTGTGTATTTCTTTAGAACAGGTGTTCTTAACTGCAATTTCATTCTGCATTGCATCTCTGAYGTGYGTGAATGACAACAAAGCTCATTCTGATTAACATTTGTTGTTTTCTATTATTAATTTATTTGTCCAATTATCAGTACCTGAAACATTATTCTGCACTAAATGAAATCTGAGGAACAGAAYGTGGGAAGGCAGCAAAGACTCAGAGTTCTGCTCTTCACTGGGTTAGCACTTTCTTTCTCCTGATCATCTCTAAAGATATCCATCTTATAATTTATTTGAGTAATRCAGCTACTGGCCATACTCCCTAAAGATACGATGACTTCAGGTTTATGATCAGTGGCGTTGTTATCTTTGACAAAATAATCCATTTGCAGTTAAGAGGGAAAGCCTCCCTCTGGACCACTTTTCTTTTGTGCTTTCTCACAGTCTGGCTCGGGAGTTCCCCGCTCCATGTGAGGACAAAACTCTTTTTTTAAGATCTGAATCATGCCCTCTCGCTAACTGGAGCCAAGGACAGCAGGGATCTTTGAAGAGATTATGTGTCCTTCATTTCAAGGCAATCCACTGAGATTCACTCTGAACTTAGAGAACAGATAAATRTCTCTTTAACACAAGGCCTGGAAGACATTTGTCTTTCCGTGATGTTCATATTCTGGTGAAGTTAATATGTGGGAATGGTTTTGATTATTATAAGGTTAGCTTGGCCAACAATTGAGTTTTTAGTTAAGTTATTTAATTTCTCTTTTTAAAAAAATTGCTTAAATCAGTAAAAGTTACTTGATTAGAATTAGGAAAGCTTCATGTCTTGAGTTAAAACAATTCATGTTAAAATATGTTTTTTTTTCTGACTTACAAAGTGGCAAATGTAGCTTTTTTTAAACCCCAAAACACAAAATATGCGTTACAAAACAAAGTTAATTACATTAAAAAGGCTGTGCTGGACTATTTATTTAAATAGCACAAATAAAATGAGTGGCAGAAAAGATTCAAGGAGTCAGGCAGTTTAAGGTTTTCTATGAGCAGACTGTCCAGTTGAACAGACTTAAAATGCACAATCAACACACAAACACACACACATCTCTAATCCCCTCTGTCACTTTAACTTTGGTCTGATCTGTAATATTCATTACATTGTCACATTTTCCATTGTCCCTTTGCTGACCTATAATGTTCATCTTGTTTGAGCCCTGTATTTTCCACAACACTTTGCATCTTTTAGACTTCCTGTCTGTTACATCTCTCCATCTCACTTCTTCATCCTAATCCCTAATCTGAATCTTTATTTTTTCCCCCTTCATCCACAAGCTCTTCTTGCTTCCCTCCTGTTCTCCATCTTTTTTCATTGCCTCGGTCATGTTTTCCACCCCCCATCTGACTACACCTGACTTTTACACCTGCCCATCTTTTTTGCATTTTGCTCATCCCTGCTTCTCCCTCCACATGTAG